AAAAATTTGAAAAATCCTTTAATCAAATTTCTCTTATTATCTTTAATTATGCCTCTATAAGAATCTAATCCATCCAAGCTCAAGTGGGCTTCATTTAACATCATATCCAGTATCTCTTTTGTTCAAGTGGTTGAATTTTGCTAGAAGCTTCAAATCATTGTTAATTTGTTAAGTGTTAAAGAAGGCAATATCATTATTCAAGATCTCATCTTTAAAGTGGAGTTTTTTGCATTTAGCTTTCCAAATATTCGAGCAAGCTTAGGCGAAAAGTCTCTGCCATGGTATTCTTCTTGTGTTCAAGCTGCTTGCTTCACTCTTTGCATTTTAAATTATCCAGTTTTGTAAACCAAGAGAAAAAAATGTGTAAAGTTTTGTAAGATTCACCAATTTTTTTTTCAAATCTATGTTGCTTCCTTACAATCTCTTAAAATATGAATTGCAGAGTCAGAGGAATTACAACCAAAAGGGCAGCTGCTTTGTTGGGGAGAGTGATCAATGGTATGATGCACATAGTTGTTATGTAAGCGATTTCAAGCATCCTTCTAAAGGAAATATATGATTTTTTTTTGTACATGGGTCACTTTTAAATCTTAGTCTAGATATATGAGTGATTTTGGTTCTTGTATGTCTCCACAGCTTTGTAAGCAAATTTAATAGAAAAGCTGCCATCGAAGAAAGGCCTCCAAAAAAGAACATCTTCTTCACTCTATTGATTGGGAGTTTGCAAGATCAAGATCTGTTTGATTATATCTACATGAAGGTAGTGACTCAAGAGGTCAATATTCCATTGTCTTGCATTATTGCAAAAATTAAAAACCCTAGCATGAAGAATATAGTCAGTATTAGGGAAAGCATATTTAACAAGAGACTCTGGAGCAGAGACCATTTATTATACCAAAAAGATATTTAATCTCTTCTACCAACTTTCCAACCAACATGCAGCATGAACTTATCCCAAACTTTTCATATGCTATTATAAGTATAAGAGCAGGTGTTGGGTTTGACCAACATTGGAATTTTAGATTTATTACACTTGTATTTATCTTGAAAAATCTGCACTCAGAGGCAATTAGGTTTAGTGATAAGGCCTTAATAAAGCTTTATAATGAAGGCAAAATTTTGATTTTTATGCTTCTCAAGGCCAAGTCCTCCATCTTTTTTGTCCTTAGTAATGCAATTCCAACAAAAAAAAGATGAGTTTTTTTGTTACCATCAAATAAATCCCAAAGGAAACTTCTAAAAAGTTTTTTCCAATTCAAATAAAATATTGTCAAGTAAAATCATGATTTGCATAATGTAGCTAGGAAGGGCCGAAAGAATAGATTAGATAAGTACATATTTCCCAACCATGTTCAAACAAGTTTGTTGAATTGTAAATTCGTCTTATCAAGAAGAGAGGCAAAGGTAAGTTTAGAAGCCTTTTCATTTCCAAGGTATTTGCTAAGATTTCTTGTGAGAGGAATCCTTAACTTGACATTAATTTTCATAGCTTTGTTAATGTTGACATTCTTTAAATAGAAGAATTTAGATTTATTAGTGTTTATTTTCTGTCTAAAGGCATTGCAAAAATCAGAAAGGCATTACTACATGACCATAGCTTGAGATAAAAGAACACTTTGCAAAAGGTAAAGGTCGTCAGCAAAAACAAGTAAGAGATAGGAAGGCTATTAATTGTTTGTCTAATTGGCATCCATTCATTGTTATCAACACTACTATTAATGTAATGGCTTAAACATTTAATGCATAGCACAAAAAGATAAGGAAAAAGAGGATCCCATTAACAGATGCCATGTGAAAGTATGACTTCATTAGATAGTTCTCTAGTCTAAAGGACTCGCAGGTGTGTAGTAGAGATGGCTACTTGGATCAAATTCTTGAATTGACTATTAATTCCAATGGATTTGAAAGTATCATCAATGAAGTTCTAAGATAATTTGTTAAAAGCCTTCTCAATATCCACCTTGAAAGTCATGAAACTCATTTCACCCATTTTGTTTCTCATGAAATGAATGACTTCTTGGGCAATTATAATATTGTTATTACTCTATCACCCTTATATAAAACTGCATTGATTATCACTGATTAAGTGGTTCATACAGGTACGAAGATGATTGGATAGTATTTTGGTGATAATTTTATAGCTAACATTACAGAGCAATATATGATGAAAATCTTTCATGCAAATGGGATGATCGTTTCTAGGGATCAAAGTAATGAAGGTTTCATTGATCAACCCAATAGTTTCTGGCTCTTTGGAAACCTTTTTAACAAAATTGATAATGCTATGATTCAAGTCTTTCTAGTATGTGTGAATGAAATTCGCATGTATACCATCAAGACCAGGAGCTTTAAAGGCCCTTATGCCAAAAGTGGCATTTTTGATTTTGTTGTTAGTCACTTCTCCGTGTAAAGTTTGAAGTTGGATGAATGAGAGGTGGGAAACTTCTTTTGATAAAATCTGGTTCCTTTTCCATACTTCTTGATAGAACACAATGTTCATAGTACAATAATAAGCCTAAGGCACACTTTAAAAGCATAACTTAGTTTTTATACTTTGTAATGTTAACAACTCAACCCTTAACTTGTTATTGGTTTAGTCATCAATCAAAATCGTTGCACCCTATACCAAGTAAAACTGAAAAACCACATGCCTCAATGCCATATCACCACACCCTTTCCTCTATGCTATTTTTCTCTTCTCTCTCTTCCTCTCTCTTCGTCGAAAGTTTATATGTTCAACATCAGTTACTAGAATATAATGGATATGATAATATGATATTGCTTTGAAGTTTAACTTTCAACTTCAACCCTCCAAGAAAGAATTGTGTCAAAAAGTGCCAATTCATGCTGCGAATCTAAACATAGTCAAAATTATCTTTTGCCCCCCTTTTTGGCCTAATAAAATAGTCAAAGATTAACGCGATACAGATCATATTGGAAGAACTTCACTCTGTAAAAATGCGTGCTAAACTCTAAACAATGACATGATGATCAAGTCGATCGTTTTTTCCTTTTTGGGAGGGAGACAGTGTAGTCGGATCCCTGTTAGCACCGCCAACCAACGGCTAGGAAAGGCAAATAAACATTTTCAAATATTAATATATTAAGTTTAATTTTTTTTAAAATAACAATAATTGATACAAAAAAAAATAATTTCAAACTAATTGTGTTACAGTTAAAGGATTATAAAATTCTCCCTCAGGTCCCATTTATAAGCCACATTTTAGAAGATGTATTCAATCTCATTTATAAGTCATGGTATGATTTTTTAGGTAATATTTAAAAAATATTTTTAAAATTATCTTTCGTGAAAGAGAAAAAGTAACATGACATTACTTTTTGAATTTGTTATATAAGTACATATTTGCAGTTCTACATACTTTTATTTTTTGTATTTTTTTACATTAGTATTGATGAAATTGATAAAAATAATTTATAAAGAGGATCGGAGGAGTATTTTATAAAATTAAGGGATCAAATTAAAACTTTATATAAAATTATAAGATTAAAATTATACTTTAACTTTCTTTTTTTTAACATATTTATCCCTTCTTATATCTTCCTACTTTGTGGAGCACTTTATCTCACATGATATATAATTAGCGTTGATTTCTTTTAATGAAACTTAACGCGGATTATTTGTTATAACTTATCACAGCCCATGTGTGGCCGAATCCCGCTTTATTTTGTGAACTTCTATTAAGTAAGACGAAACTCGGGGGCCAGAAAAATTATTATTAAATCCTGAAGCATATTTTCATAAATGACACGTTATGATCGTCGTGATCGAGCAACTTTTATGCTATGATTGGAGAAAAAAGTAAGGGGAGAAAAAAGTGAAAAGAAAATAACATTTTACTCTGCTGGACTACAAAAGGAAAATTAGAGAGGAGAGAATCTGTAAAATTCACATGTTTTTATTTTCAATTTTTCTCTCCACATATGAGATGATTTTGGAGGAAAAATTTCATTTTTAAATTTATCCACTATTTTTTTTATTGCCACCTCTTGCTTCCCTTTATTTTTATTATGATATTTATGGTATAGTTACATTTTAATTATGAATTTTTATTAAACAAGCTGTATATTTAATTTTTAGACTAATTGGACAAATTAAAAGAAAAGAAAAGTGGTCCTCCTCTCCCTAAATCATACTTTATTAATTTCCTGTACTAGTGCTATGCTTGATATTCAATATCCAGTTCAGATTTTATAATATCCATCAGCATCAAACTCATTTACAGTATTTAGAAAAGATTACTTCCAGCGCAACTGTTCTGTAAGCACGGGGAAATCATTCACAACTTAACAGGCTATATAAATGAAAAACCTTTTTAGTCTTTACCAACTATAATAGGTTTTTCATTATAAGTTCTTCATTGTACGTTCTAGTTTCTAATAAATCAATAAAATAAGACGTATAAATCATATGAAAACTCATAAGAATTTATGTGTATTGTACCATTTGAAATCCAAAAAAAAAAAAAAACCAGAGAGAGAGAGAGAGAGAGGGTTCCTGATCACAAAAAATGGAGAGACATAATGTTTGTAATGTCTTCAATATGTAAAGTTTATGAAACCATACTTGAAACTTTAAGTGTGGGTAGACTTTAAGTGATATAAAAAGTTTTACATTGGATAAAATTAAATTAAATAAATGATATATATATATATACATATATATATAATAGAGGGAAAAGACATGAAAATTTGAATCTTCAAAATCTTGAGATAAAATGGGACGACTTTTTACTATTCATCACTCATTTATTCTCTTCTCCTTATATTTTCAAACTTTTATCCCTTCCCGTTCATGTATAATTTATTATCAATTTTTGTTTTATATATTAATAATTTTAATATTGATATATTGATGATAACTTCAACGACAAAATATGAATAGTGGTACAGTCAGCTTTGCTGCTTTGGATAAATGTATCCATTTTACTGATTTAATCTTCTGACAATGATTTTTTCTCATAAAATGGGAGAGCACGGAATGGGCGAATGAATTTCCATTTCATTGTTAACTTGCATTGTGAAAAATGCTAATTCAAAGCGATTTTTAAAATTTTAATTATAAATAAGACAATAGTAATCCATGCAATGATGTGAAGTACATAACCATGCGAGGTCGACGTACGATGGCGAGAGTGAGAGCATCTTGAATTCGTCCTACGAGCTCCCAAGCAGAGAAGAGGCTTTGTCTTGCAAAATCTGCCATGCAGCAGTCACGTGCTTTGCTTCAGTCAACGGTGCTCCAACTGCGAAACGTAGAACGAACTTTCCTGACAAAACCTGCACAAAAAGTTGATATTTTTATCAAGAAAAGACGACTAAGAAAGACACACTAGAGCATAGCGCCGGTAACGCATACATACCGTGTGTGTTATGAAAATTTTCCCAGTTGAATTTACAGAGTCTAATAGATCCCGATTTAGCTTATTGCCATCATCTTCAGAATTTGGCAGAGGCAAGAACCGAAAACAAACCAAAGAGAAAGTCCGGGGTGTAACAACCTGCATGAAATTAATAGATCAAGAAATTGTGATACGATATTCATAGTAATTAACTTGCTTTGTCTTCCATCCGACACTCCCTCCACACCTTTTAGCTGTCGTTTAAAGTTTTAAACTTTTAACACACAAATTAAGAAACGCGATTAATATGTTGAAATTTCTTTTAAATTTTCTTAAGTGCGCATGTATTCTCTCAGTTATTATCTCTCTCATTCTATCAATCAAGAAGAAACAGAGGGAATAAAATAGACGACTGCTCTACCTCAAATCTTGGGTCTTGACAAACAAGTTTCTCAAAATGAGCAGCCAAATCAATGTGGCTTCTTATGTGACTTCGCAGACCTTCCAAACCATACAGGCGCAACACCATCCAGAGTTTTAAGGATCTAGGGCACCATGCAAGTCAATAGGCAAGGTTAAACATTTGCCAGTATTTCTACATCTTTAAGGTTTTGTAAAATTAGAAACCTATCAATTATCATTGATAATATCCTTTAGTTTTAAGTTCTTATAAACTCCAGGAACTAGTATGAATCAAGATCATACGACACTGCCAAATACAGTCACAAGTGATCTAGAGGTTCCAATGTAAGTATAATGCTCATTTATTAATCATTTACGAGGCTGCTTTTGTTTTTTTTTTTTTTTCAAGAACCTCATTTATGAGCGTTTTTGGCACCTCATAAAATTACAAACATGAAAAATCTCTTTTGAAAAAGAAAACAAGCATTTCTAAAGGCTAACTTTAAAAAACACACCTAAAGCGACGTCCGAGAGGAATTTGCCAATCTTTGTAATCAATGACCAAGTTTTCTTGAGAGGCCTGAAGTTTCAATTGTACAAGAAGATAGTTAGACAAAAACTTATCACAAATTTAAAACCGCGTGTTAGTTTGAAAAGTATGTCCCTATGACCTTCTCATCCCTCAAGACAAAATATATAATCATTAAAGGTTTATAAAATAGCTCAACTAATTCCAAAAGCATGTAATTATAGACATACTTTGTTTTTCAGAAATTCGGGATTTGTAGATAGTGACTGAATCAGAGCACTCCTATCCTGTCATCATCAATTTGAACAATGTCTCTATATTTTTTGTTGGTTAGGTAAATTGGACCGTCAACAAATGCTGAGATGGGATTGAGAATAAGTACAAGATGGTGCATCACAGATACCTGAACCCAGAGCAGTGAACAGTCAAAGTTAGTTAAAAACCATTTATGAGCATTCATGTTGAACGAGTCGGCTTCTTCAACACCGTCAATATAATGGCGATATTCTGGACACACACAAGCACTTCCAGCATAAGCAGCGTCCACATGAAACCAGATTCCATTGCTCTGTCAAAAAGACGTGCATTACAAGCATTATCAGATAAAAAGATAAAGAATAAACCATTGGCATTCAGATGACTTTGGATAGGTTTATTATACAGCAATTGTAGTATTGTATGCATCTTTCGAATTAATCAAGTATCTAGAAACACATGCCTTACAACAACTAATTTTCAAGACAACAGCAATGCTAATGGGCGTCAGCACCAGAAAATGTTAAATGCTCCTAACATGTTCATACAAAATATAGAAATGACATCTCCAATGTTCAACCAACTCAATTTCCTTATTTATCTTTTGGTTTGATGTCATTATCCTCACTAAATGCGGAAGAAAATTACACCAACTGCTTTTATTACCCATTCAATAACAGATGTTACCTTTGCAATCTTTCCCAAAGCAGGCAGAGGATCGACAGCGGTTGACGAAGTGGTACCAACCTGTGCACAGATCAGTATATGAGGCAAGTACCAGAAATTTTGATTTTGATGTATTGGAAAACATTAAAGACTTGAGATATTGTTACTCCGTATTAGAGTACAGTCAGAATACATTTTTGCTAACCATAGAAATTCAGTTGTTCAGAATTTTTAACACAATAATTGATTAGCTACTTCATATCGTCTCAAAATCTGACCTTCTGACAGTCCAGACGCAAATTATGTAAAAGTATCATATATCCTTAAACATACTGTTTAAGAGCCCAAAAGAAAAATGAATAAAATGGTAACAAACCACAACTATTTTCAACAGCAAACAACCAACAAATAGAGCCTGATAAAATGAAATAAAGAATGATACATTATTCCTTGCTTGAACAAATGCACAGGTCAGTAAAATAGTGTCATATTTGCTAACTACAGTAAACTTTTTTTGAAAAAATATATACGAGAAAGATTGAGGTTAAGATAAGAAAAATGCAAAGCAGAGGAATTAGAAAAATTAGTGCATTTGATACAAAGAGATGTCCCAATTAAACATGAGAAAAATTCAGTTCTTACAGTAGCACATAAGAAAAAGGGGATCAAACCGCTGGCAATGTCATTTGAAATTGCTTCACAAAGTACATCAGGAGAAAGAGCATAATTTGTGGAAGGATCAGTTCTAAGCAACCTGCAGAGCTCTGGATTGAGTCCTCCTATCTGACAATTAACAGCAAATATCATTATTCTTAAATCACAGAATAATCTTGTCACAAGCAAGCGAACTTCAATGCTGCAGTTGAGCAACATAAATGATGTCTCCTATTTCACTATGCAAAATCTAAAGCTGGACTAATCTCATGCATTGTCACTCAATTTCCCCATCACTTGTCTCATGCCAAGGAATATTGAAGATTTTGTAACAAAAACAGTATAAAGTAAAACCACTGGAAATGAGATAAATGTCTGAGCAAAACACTGTAGTTGCAAGACCACATGGCGTTCGAAACCCACAAGTATTATAAGAAGAAAGGACAGAAGGACCATTATCACCGTACAATAGACTATACAAGTTTGTACTTCATGATTCTAGTGAGCAGCTTCAACGATGTTATGTCTATCTATTAGATTTAGGAAGGGACATGTAGTTGGCAGTCAACTTAAGGACTGGGAGAAGGAAGGATTGAGAAAAGCCATATACTTTTGAACATATATTCTTTTTCATTTTTCCTTGTCTTGTTTAAGGTACCTGACAGGCTTTGAGTAAACAAGAGTGTGTTTGATCAGATGCATACATCACAAGCTTAGGGAGGGCACTCTTTCCAGCCCTCCGCAATATCTTGTCACGAGCAGCCAACAAGACAACTAGTACAGCTTCACTTGCTGTTCCCTGTATAACTCCACCACCTTGTCCTGCAATATAAATTTAAACATGACTTCCCGCACTTCGTAGGTTTGATCCATTGTATAAAAATTGAGAGTATACCAGATAAATTATTCAATTCTATTTAGATTTAAAAATTTAATATCTATCAAATTTATTGAGGACGCAGTTCAACAGATTTTGAAGCACGAGTTTATATCTTCATGCAATATTAGGTTTATCATTTGCTGCATCAACATAAGTAAACAAGTTTGGTAGAGGCTAACTTATACCATATAGACAACCACAAATATGTAAGCAGTTAAACAAAATCCCTGAAGGAGTCCCGGTTCCCAACTTTAGGAGCTATGCCATTTTTCTTCTGATTCATGGTTTTCTTTTTCCCCATGTCAAATTAATTCAAATAGGTGCTGTAGTTTAAGGCGTTACCAGTGGAATAGAAATGAGTAGGAAGCTGAAATGCTTTAGCAAGCCAGTCAAGAACAATCATTTCGAGTTCAGTTGCTGCAGGAGAAGTTATCCAGCTGAAACCCACAATGTTCAGACCAGCACTGAGCATTTCTCCCAGAAATCCAGCTATGCTACTGTTTGAAGGAAAATATGCAAAATAATTTGGGCTTTGCCAATGCGTCACCCCTGGCAGTATCTTTTCCTGAACATCTAATATATGACACATTTTAGACATCTTTAGGGAAAAAATCTCGTTGTCTTTTAGGTAAATAGTAGCATGCTGCCATGGCTCGTTATGATGCGCGTTGTTAGAATAGTAAAACTTACATAAATAGACTCTAATATAGAAATCTAACCACTCAAAATGCCTTGTAGTGATTCCGGATAATTGGGTGCAGAATCTGGTAGAAGCATCCGTAGATACCCCGGCTGCAATATGCGAGTCAAATATAGATAACTGACGTATAGTCATAATGAATTCAAAGTAGAAGCATGATGGAAAGATTAAAAGAAAGGATCAGGTTAAGAAAGACAGCGGAGTTACTCAATAAAAGAAGAGCGCCATGCACATATTTCACAAAAAATTCTAATATCTACCCTTCTTCAATTGCAAGCTGAAGTCATGTTCCACGTTCAAACGGCATTCTCATTTAGCTATAATGCGCCACAAACGATTATGCAAATGAAAGAAAGATATTCAAGTAAAACATGCGGAAAGTTTTGCAACCTCAACTTGGCTGAGCACGGGGAGATTTTCGATTGTTTTATAGTAATCAGCAATGAAATCCACCATCTTATGAGCTTGCTCTCTGAGCTGTTCAGCGTCCATTGGCCTCAACTCACTTTCCTTAGACATTTATCAACTGCGAAGGTCAAAGTTCAAGGCTGAGACTATGCATTGAACGAAGCACAGAAATTGGATCACTCATTTCATTAGTGAATGAAAATTGGCAACGCCTAATCTCCATCAATCATTACTATAGACGTGGGATAGAGTTTGATACTTGGAACTTACATTTCTCTCGGAATAATGAGGGGCTTTGCCGGAGATAACTAAGTGGACTGAAATTCTATCCCAGCTGCAGCGCTCCGGTTATTGGTGGAGAAGAGAAGACAGCGTATCGAAGAAAAAGGCATTTAATCCGACTCCGCGGATTGCCTGGAGGGTGACAATAGAAATCTGTACCGTCTAAAAATTTAATGTTTAAATTGTTTATTTTATATTTATTAAAATAAAAAAATTACAAATTTTTTTCATAAATTTGATCAAAAAGTTTGAATGGTGAAAATTTAATATAGATAATTCAAGTTTAAAATTAAAAATTTATTAAAATTACAAAAAAAATTAACATTAAATATGTGCTATCCAAAATATACTTGTAACTTATATTGCTAATTTATAAAAATTAAAAAAATTTACTAAATTTGATCAATAGTCTGAATATTCCAAATTTAACATGGATGATTTAAATTTAATATTAAAAATTTTTAAAAAAATTAATATTAAGTCCACACTATCTATAATATATCTAGTAAACCAAATTATAAAAAAGTTAATATTAAATTTAAATCATTTATGTTAAATCTGAACCTTCCAATCTATTGATCACATTTATTAAAATTTTTTACATTTTTTATAATTTTTTTTATTTTAATAAATAAAAATAATATATTAAATTGGGAAAATTGTCAACCAAAAAAACTCAAGGGAAAATTAATTGCTAAAAAAGGGTTGGTGACTTTTGAAAAATGAGGTCCTTCTAAGACATTATTGTCTTGTTGTTAAAAGACCAAAATGCCCCTGGCAAATCATATTTGAAGATAAAAAAATAGGCTTTCTTGGCAATGGAATAGAGGAAGGAAGAAGAGGAAGAATTGGTAATGTAACATTTCGATTTTTAATTCCCTGATTTCTTAAGCTTAATTAAGATAATTAAGTAGGTTGACGTAATGTGTGGCCAGAGAAGAATAATAAGTGTTTTTAGTTAAAATTTCAGGTATAAATAGGTCCAAAGTGAAATTGGGTTATTTAGGAACCAAAAAGTGGAGAAAAAAAAGCTAAAAAGTCTCTGTGCCACATGCCGCAGTACACAGGGCCATTAGGTGAGAATTTGCTTTTTCTGTGCCACATGCCGTGGCGCATGGGGACAAGTGCCGCAGCATATGATGTGAATTCTGCAGTTATCAGTCACAAAAATAAGATAGAACAAGAGAAAAGAGAAAATGGAGAGAAGTATCAAGCTCTACTGGGTTTACTTGTGGATGACATTATGAGTATTTTAGAGACTACAAACACCTAACGTAAGTACCACACTCATCAATCTTCTCATTTCTTCTAAATTTGTGAGTTTATATTTATGGTTTGATAGTGAAAGTGGATTTTCGATCCATATGAGTTATGGGTCTAAATTTATTGACTCAAATGGAATTAATAAGAGTAAATTATAGTATCTAAACCTAATATAATAATTTTTTAGTGTCTTGAGTTGTTAGGCACCATTATTATCTAAAAATTTCATTTATTATGGGTAGTTGGAAGATTGTGATGCCATTAATGAAAATTTAATAGTTCATTAATGTTATTGGGAGATTAAAAGTAATTAATAAATCCAATGGATAGGCTCAAACTCATGTAAAGTGGACATTGGGCAATTTAAAAGTAGAGAATGAGGGTTTAATACTTGAGTTATTAACATTGATGGAATTCAACTTAGTTGATTGTAGTTTTGGCTCTTGGTCACCTTTTTAGTGTGGGAATTCAAGCTTGAAAGCTAGCAGATTAAGGGGTAAACTTTTGATCTTTTAAAAGTTTGAGGTAATCGGAAAGAATCCTATTTGGAGTAGTTATGTATTAATTGTAATGTGGATGTTAATTATGTGTTTAAAATGTAAATTTTGACTTGTAAATAAGTGCATCATGCAATGAACACCTTATATTTATCAAATCACTTTGATATGTATTAAGCATGCAAAAGAGATTTCAAAAGGAGTTTTAAATTGCAAAAGTGATAATTAATATGAGTTGTATGTTTATGATGTGCTTTAAATGAGTAGTTGATAATAGTTTTGACGAAGATGAGTATTGTGACTAAAAGAGTGTGTTGATGTGTTATAATTGAAAATGATAATTTATACTTACTTGGGTAGCATATGATCGCGAACCTAATGTGAGAATGTGATAAATAATAAATGAAAATATAAAAATAAGTAAGTATGTTTATGGTATGATCAGTGGGCGAGAGTTCGTCTGGGGATTAGGAGTAAAAAAAATTTATATGGTATTTAGGCTACCCTCCGCTACATGAGGGTGTAACTTTATTCCACAGTTTGTTAAGGGACTGTCTCATAATTTGTTGAAAGACTAAAACCTAATTTTCTCTACCAGTTTAATGAGAAGAATAGTTTAGGATATGAGACACCCCAGAGATTTAAGAATGGGGGAAGTCGTGGTCCGAGAGTGAGTCATGTGATCTTTGACCAGGTCACACTTCATGATTGGTGAGCTTAAATAGTCTAGTCACACAGACAGAGTCCTATTCAATATTATAGCCCATGGTTTCAATCTGAGGAAATAAGGAGGTTATAAGGTTGGTTGATCATTGCATGTACAAATATATGACATGTCACACATGTTGAGTTGTGGCAAGTCCTGTGAATAAGGGGTCATTTCACATATCTGAGAATATGGTGACAATGCACCTAGTATATGTGAGATAAAAAAGTTATAAAATGAAAAATGATGAGTTATGATATGTGTGAGTATGTTTTAAGTGCTTAGTTTTATATGCACGTGCTTGTTTTATAATTGATATATTATTGCATAAGGTAAGTTTTACCTTAATTACTAAGTGACTAGACTTATCCTTTCATTTAACACTTTTTAAGCTTTAGCTTTACTGTTAAGAGGGAGAAGATTAAGGAGGCTAAGAATTAGCATATTCTTACTGTATGCCTCTAGTTTAAATTTATTTTATGTAATAGTATATGATTATTAATTCTAGGTTACATGCCATCACACTTGCACTATTTTGTTATTGAAAATGTCTGATTTATATTTTAAGTCCTAAGTATTTGTATATGTTGAGATATACTCCCTTCGTTCAAAAATGTAAAATATTTTTTACTAAATTTCACTCTCAATAAAGTAATTACTTACTTTCAAACTAATTTTATCTTTTTATATTTACTTTTATTAAACACCCTATAATAAATATAAAATTAATATCAATAGGAGTATTTTTTTAAAAAAGGCAATAATTATACCTTGAAAGACTAAAAATGCCTCACATTTTTGAACATCCAACCCCTAAAAAAATGCCTTACATTTTTTAACAGAGGGAGTATATGTTTATAGAACCAAAATATTAGTACAAGTATAGAAATAAAGATTTGAACATGTTTTGATTAATTTGGATGAAATGCAATGAAAAATTATCTCTCCCTCTATTTTTGTAAAAAGGGGTTGGGGAATAAAATTTTGTTCTACTATTGTATAAGTACGTGTAACGTGTTGTACTGATAGTCTTAAGTTCAATGGACATGGTCCAAGTGTTAAGAAAGGCTTGTGGCACATATTGAGAGTTTTGGACATCCTTTTTGTATAAAAATTGTCAAAAGTGGTAAAATTATATTTGAGTATCCAACTTCATAGTGTGACGTGTTTTGGAAGTAAAATCCGTGCTATTAGCTAATTTATATAAAAAGCTTTTTTATAGACACATAGATCACATCATTCAGACATCGAACGGAGAATTAGGACGCGTTGGAAGTTTTTCTAATTTTGCTGTCAAATAATAGCAAAAATTATTGATTTTTATGTGTAACACGCCATAGTACGTGACATAGAGAACAACATGTCGTGGCGCATTGCTCTGTTGCACATTAAAAGAATTATTTTTCACTTGTTTTCAATTTCTTTCACTCTTTTAAGATATCACATGCTTCCGTAACTTATTTTTACTCTGATATAAGAGATCTTGATTGTTTTAAAATCTTTGTCATTATGAAAAACTTGAGATCCCTTACTTTTGAATTAAACCTTGTTAATCAATCTTTGAATTAATTTTTTTGATTACCATGAGTTATATTAGTTAATTGTGTTTAGTGGAGTAAGATTTTACAAGTAACACCAACAGCTTGTTAACTTGTTTTTGATTTGAGGAGTAATCAATAAATACTAAGGTGATAGCAATACTCGGGTAACATCAGCAGCAGCTTCGATCTAAGATGCATTATTCTACACCCTTAATCTCTACTTATCAAGTTGTTTAATTTATTTCAAAGTTTCTATAGCAATTTATGGTGATTTTATCTCATAACTAGTAAGTTACAATTATTTTTTTAGTAATGTTAAAATAGGTTGTGAAATTTGGAAAGTTTGGGTGACAAGAAAGAATGATGAAGGGGAAGGGTCAAGGGTTAATGTTTCACATGTGTTTAAGCAGGAGTTATATTCAGACAAAAAAGGAAAAAGCAAGTTTAAAGGAATTCAAGAGGTTGACAAAGTTGTAAGAGAAGCATGGAAAAACTTGTTTAAGAAATAAATGAGTAAGTATGCTAAAATGGTAAAAGAGAAAAGAGAAAGGATAGGGGGAACTTCTTCAAGTAAAAGAGGTGAAATGTTGACATGATGCTCACTGAAACAATTTGTGAAAGTGGCAAAGCATGCAAGGAATAATGCAAACTTGAAGGAGAGGGTTGAAAAAACTAAGATTGGTAGGATAATAGATGTTAGGTGTATAAAACTACACTATGTTATCTATACAAGAATGATTATATATACTAACCCTACAATATCATCAATATTCAAAAAAAATGTGAAGCTAGTGATTAATGGGTAGCTAGTTAGAAATATATTAGGATTGCCTAATGAGAAAGTGGATGTTATGGAGGAAGAAGAACTAAATAAGGAGATATATTTTGTATTAAAGAAAAATTTTGACAAAAAATGTTTTTAGTAAGGTAAAGACCATGATATTTTAGGGGAATATGATGAAATGTTTAAGCCCATATTTGTTCTTTACACTCTTAGGGCGTTATTGTACCTTCCTTCATGTAGAAGTACAAGCCAGCATTTTTTGAAAATAATTTATTGCAAGAAGACAAGGTTAGGTTCTTTTAGTTAGTCAAATCTTATGGTGATAGAGTTGATAAAAGATGTTGAAGAGTAT